TATAACGTATTATTATTATTGTTCGATTTATATAGCGCTTCATTACACGTGAAGTGTTTCTAAGCGCATATCACAAACATATACTTCAAACACACAGAAACAATCAAAATCAGGAGAACATAATTAAACACAGCTGCCTGTTAGGCGCTATTATTCAAAGGTTTATATCCAACAAATCAACCGGCTAATCTCTATATTGAACTCAGTCGAGGTATTACCTGATGAACACCTACACCAAGTAGAGTTCAAAAATAAAAAACGAAGTTTAAAAGAATCAGCTTCATTAACAAATTATAATAACGAATGACACCCAAACATAAGACTTTTTAAAAATGTACATCCTGAAAACGCACATGTACTTGCAGTTACATGAATTTATAATTTATTTAGTGTGAGAGAGAGAGAGAGAGAGAGAGAGAGAGACATTGTCATTGCAGTACCAAAAGGTCTTTAGCAGTGGGAGGAAAGGGGGAGAAAACGGTGGTTTGAAACGTCAACAAATAACCGGTATAAATACTTCTAACACTTACAAAGCGTTCTGAAAAATAAGTTGAACAAAGGCTCTCAGAAACCACTCACAAAAACCCGAATGTTACATGGGTGACAACTATTTAAAGCATATCACGTCAGTTTGACATTGTTAAATGGAGTTTGACATTGTTAAATGGAGTTATCTCCCCAAAATCGGGCATGCACCCAAAAGAAAAGGGACCAACCTCAGGGTATAAGGAATATGTATTTTAAGTTTCAAGATGATCGATTTAGAATTGTGGCCTGTAGGCGACACACAAAAAGAAAATTGGCATGGCTCTGCCCCTGGGGGTTGGGCATGTAGGGCCTACTCCAAATGATAAGGATGTTCCAAATGATAGGAATGTTCCTTAGGGTACAAAGAATAAGTATATAAAGTGTGGCTCTGCCCCTGGGGGTTGGGCATGTACCCCAAACGATAGGGATGTTCCTTAGGGTACAAAGAATGTGTATGCAAGATTATAAGTTAAGAAATGTGGCCTGTAGACGACAAACAAACAAATACTAGAAATGGGCGTGGCTCTGCCCCTGGGGGTCGGGCATGCACCAAAAACAATAGGGATCTTCCTTGGGGTATAAGGAATAAGTATACCAAGTTTGAAGAAAATCCAGTAAGAATTGCGCCCTGTAGGCGACACAAAGACACACGAAAAGAAAATGGGAAATGGGCGTGGCTCTGCCCCTGGGGGTTGGGCATGTACCCCAAACGATAGGGATGTTCCTTAGGGTACAAAGAATGTGTATGCAAGATTATAAGTTAAGAAATGTGGCCTGTAGACGACAAACAAACAAATACTAGAAATGGGCGTGGCTCTGCCCCTGGGGGTCGGGCATGCACCAAAAACAATAGGGATCTTCCTTGGGGTATAAGGAATAAGTATACCAAGTTTGAAGAAAATCCAGTAAGAATTGCGCCCTGTAGGCGACACAAAGACACACGAAAAGAAAATGGGCGTGGCTCTGCCCCTGGGGGTTGGGCATGCACCCCAAACGATAGGGATGTTCCTTAGGGTACAAAGAATGTGTATGCAAAGTTTCAAGATTATTAGTTAAGAAATGTGGCCTGTAGACGACAAACAAACAAATACTAGAAATGGGCGTGGCTCTGCCCCGGGGGGTCGGGCATGCACCAAAAACAATAGGGATCTTCCTTGGGGTATAAGGAATAAGTATACCAAGTTTGAAGAAAATCCATGAAGAATTGCGCCCTGTAGGCGAACCACAGACACACACACACACACACATACATACATACACACACACACACACACAGACAGGGGCGACGGCATAATACGTTCACATTATGAATGTGGACGTATAAAAATGAAACTAAAATTAGTTGTTAAACAATCTCCTCTTAGTTTTTATAAAAAAAAAATAAAATGAAATATTCATATGGACCTTGTCCATTATTAATCGATACACAATGAAGTTTAGCTCCTTTAAAAATATCTGTAAATGTTTAAATATAATGTATTGGTTTTTTTGGGTTGCCATGGTTTTATTCCTAATTTTGTCAATTATCATCTGTGTAAAATACTTGCGGAATTAAGAAACATGTACTTTAACACAATGTGTGAGTAACTGCAAGCTTGCAAATACATAAATCAGATGAACAATTAACCAGTACAACACTGAAGACTAAAGGGAGATAACTCAGTTTATTTGGAGAAGACACTTTGAACTGTTGTTCATTCACTGATTGGATTGTATTGGTTATGTGTCAATGCAATTAACCAGATGTTAAATTTAACACTTTATTAATTGCGGTTTCTATAAGATAAGCAGTAGTCTATTTTCTTAAAATTTTAATTTATGCAAATCTATTAAACACAGATTCTATTTCGTTTTGTTTTTTAAAGTTCAAAATTTCATTTTACTTGTCTTCACAACACTAGGATCTGGAAGAGCTTATTATAACAGGCGTTCTAGTTGATGTGAGGAATTAGACAATGAAATGATCTGCCACGGCCAGTTCTTGGCGTGCTCTGCATGGAACTGTGGGTAAATGCCCAGAAACATCAATGCTGATTGATTATTCAATGTCTGACGTCATAGGGTCAAATGCCGCTCGTATGACCCCTGAAGCGAGCTCCCAGTACAACTGGTCAGATCTTCATGTAGTGTAGGCCATCGAAAGTATAAGAAAACGAAACGAATTAAAGATCTGTATTTTAATCAGATTGAATTTATGCAGACAGAGTGAGACTATTTTCTAAGTTTACGCCTTCTGTGTAAATGTTAATTCTGTTACCTACAATGCACTAATTCAATTTTATGTAAGGTACACCAATTCAATTTGATATGACTCAACTGATCAAATAATGAAAAATTTTGAAGACTTAAGATACACCTAGTTAATAATGGTGAATATGACAATGTCAGAATACCCATGGTGAGAAAGAAGATATATGACATTTCAAATGCCAGACTTTGTGAATATTGTTTAAACGCCAGAACAAAATTTATGATCACCAGAAGAAATTTTGTAATCGTATTTATTTCGAAAAATATCATTGACATATTCAAATATGTCATCATCACCGTAAGTAATTTTGTGACCTTATTTTTTCCCCAAAATAACATTGAAAGGTAAAATTTTTAAGTTTCTGAGCGAAAAAAAAAAAAATTGAAAAAAAAAAAACCTCTAGCAAGACACCCATCGTAATATCTATTCAAATCCTTTATGTAACTTGTCAAGTTTTATGGCATTTGATCAACAACATTCCAATTTCTAAATCCTCTTCTCTTTCTTGTCTTTTTTTAAATCTCACATTGGATGTAAATCAGATGTATTATTGACATCCTCCTTCTTAAATTTAGCCAAAAGCAACAAATTTGCTGTGGGAATAAATGTTCTGTCGATACTTTAATACAAAAACAACAGAAAAATTTTGCTGTTTGTGTCCATTATTTCAGTCAACTGACAAAAGTTGACATTTTCAGACAAACCTTGTTTATCTGAACTACCAACAAAAATTGGGTTGTTCAGGTTCATTCACATAAACAAACATCGTCAATAAAGCCCTTATAGACAAAAAGTACAAATTTCTTTTTAAATCTTCATTTTTTTTACTGGCTACCGTTCATTTCAGAACGAGAGAAATGGTGTTTAATGTACTAGGTAATTTTGGTACTAACTTAAACATGCATTATGCAAGAGCAAAATCTGCTTATTACAAGTCTTTCTTTAGGCCTGAAATGTTATCTAAATTATCAATTAGACATTAATTAACTTATCCAGACCATAATAAACTCTCGATGTCAAGGCTAGCCTTCGATGTTGGCTGGATTAGATTCCTATATGCCGCTAACGGGTGTTGATAATTAAATCAGAAAAAGTGGATAATCGAGATTATGCTGTTTATATTAATGATTTTAGTAATGATGACCGAGACTATGCAAAAATTTCACCCGCTTCTTTCTCGGCTCATAGTGGATCAATTTGACTGAAATTTTCAGCAAATTACCTTTACACTATCTAGTTTTTAACTATTATAGCGAGAACTGCCATCTCTTTATCTTATGTCCCATAATGTATCTTTAATATCGTTTAATTATATTTCAATAATTTACTTGTGCTTATGTGTCTTTCGAAGTAGGAAGAAACGTGACCACCTGAATAAATCCAGAAGGTTGGACAGGCGTCAACACTCGAAACCACGCTGCATGTGTCAAGACCATTTGGCCACCCAACCGCCCCGATTCATTTCAAGTAATCAAGAAAATATAACTAACACTTTGGGACCTTATCTTATTTTTAATGCTAAAAAGTCTTCAAATTGATCAAAACCAAATATTAACTGTAGATAATGTCCAAGCTTGGATTCAAAGATGCCAATCAAAAGATTTTACCGAAGCCTTTTATGTGGAGCTGACTTCGTTATATTGTCAGGATGCGGCCAATTGTAGCAAATTTTCAGGTTGAGCATCTCTTTGTAAATGCTGGACAAAATGGAACAATATATCAACTGTATTCTATTCAAAGATTCAATTTTTACGATATTGTAGTTAAAAGATGATCAAAATTTATCAAGTGAAAATCAGCGGTCTTAAAGAGTGTTGGAAGATAAGACAATATACACAGACCTTCCCTGGTCTGCAAAGCCAAAATTGAAACTTAATGAGTCTATTAAAGATGATCACTGAACAGAATTTGATTTTTTTAAATCACATATGAAAATATAGGACAAGCTACTTAGATCAATTATTTTCAAAATGTTATTTTAAGTGGTTAACGTCTCAAGCAAGTGTGATTTCAAAATTTTTCAAGTTCAACTTTACTCTTAACTTAACATTCTATGGAAAATCTTGACACATCTGTCATAAGCCATCTTAAAACAATTCAACACTTGCTGAATGCAATATTTTGACATTTGAGCACAGATAGTGGATATATCTTACAGTGAAACTCTATCGACTTTATTGAACCTGTCTTAAAAGCATAATAGTATTTGAAGTAACCTTACCCTCTTAGAGGACCAGATATATCCTTTTCTTCTTACAGCTGGTTGACGTCGCAACACTAATTCTGTATCATCATCTTCATCCGACATTTTTACTGTAAAGACAGAATATAATATTTATCAAATAAAGATTTGTTTAATGATAACTATATTCAATAGAAAGAATCAACATCGAAAAAAGAGATAAAGAAATGGGGTTAAACATCTGCTTGACACAAACTAGGTCATTTTGGGACTAACATGCAGTCAATTGAAAAACCAAATGCATCAAATCTGCCAATTGCCCTTTCAATGTACTTACTTTGATTATTTAACATTTAATTAAAAAAAAAAAAAAAAAAAAAAAAAAATCAACAGTAGATAATCTAACTCAATTCAATCAGATCAAATACTGGCTGAACAAAAAATTATAGGTGATGATGTTGGCTTGTTTTAACTGTTTCTGGATCATATCATTCGTATGCAGAGGAGGCTGAATTTCCATTTGTCATATCTTTATAAATACTGACAAGGAACTTTTTCTATTTGTCATATCTTTATAAATACTGACAAGGAACTTAATCAGATTCAACTTTCACTATTTGTAGTGTGTATTGATCAAAAATCCTTTAAATGACAATCTGATAGTTAAAAGTTAAAATGAATAAATAACAATCTTAACAGAATCCTGTTTTCAAGATGAGTTTATAACGATCTTTAACACATAATTATCCTGTTAACATCATCTATATTTCACATATTTCAACAGAATCACTCTATATTTTATAGAGTGCATTGAAACCTGCGTCAATGGAGAGGTGCTAACCATATTGTTGACAGTTTGTATACTTTCAGACATCATCAGGTCATTCTAAGGTCAATGTTATGCACGAAGAGAAAGAATTATTTGAATGACGAATTAAATTAGATTTTGCTAAAAACTGCTCTATGATACTGTCATTAATGTGATACTGATTTACCCAACACTACTTATAGCAAAGCAAAACAGCTTTTCCCAGATATACAACAATGCTTTACCCAACCGGCATCAATTATGTCAACAGAGGTCTTGCAAACTTCTGACTATAATGTTAATATGCTTCCATTCCCTTAAGAGTTAACAGATTTAAATAAAAAAAATATGAAACATATGTTCTTTGAAGAACCACGGTGGTTCATTGAGTAAGTCACTTAGTTTTCCATCCTCATTCCTACTTGTCACAGGTATTAATAATAATAATAATAATAATAATAATGTATATTTATATAGCGCCAATTCCATCCAAAATTACATGCTCAAGGTGCAGTCAGGACACTCTGTACACTGTACACTATTTACACTAGTAGCTTGATCACTCATATTCTAGATTAAATAAATGAGTTTTCAATTTTGTCTTAAACAATTCGAGAGAACTTGACGTTTTAATGCTGTGTGGTAGGGAATTCCATACGATTGGTGCATAACATCTAAAAGATTTATGACCAAAGGATTGCAATTTGAATTTCGGTATATGTAAAAGGCTCTGTTCTTGGGAACGAAGATTTCTTACTGGTTCATAAACTTGCAAAAGTTCAGTCAGATATTCTGGGCTGGATCCATTTAAGCATTTAAACACAAGACACAAGATTGAACAGTGTCTAGTCATTTCGATGAGACGAAAACCAGAAGGGGCGATTCTGTCAGGGCAAAATTTTCCTCATTGCACACTGCATGGTGTATGGCTGTATTCATGTATTTTGAATAATATTTATTTAGTAAATAATATATACATGTAATAATATTAAATTCATTATGCCCAGTAGTGAGTCTCTGCATGTCAATAAATTAGACATCAAAAACAATATGAACATCCCACCATACTCCAGGCAATAATAATTAGCTGATTAAGACCATGGGTTAGTTGTTTGAGAGCAGGGTCAAAATGTCTAATTTAATGCAATGTCACTGAGAAATGCAGACAAATCCAAAACTGATTTAGCACGATTGATTTGCATTTATCAAAAAATAACCAATCTTTAACGGCTTAATCCAAGTTATAACGTATTCAAATTGACCATTTATCATTTAATTAAGAAAATAAAATCAAAATATCAATTTCCTGGCTTTAAATCAATCAGATTAAAAAGAACATTAGAAGATTTTACCCAACACTTGCAGGTGGTGCTGGCTTTTTTATTATATTTTCAGTCAACGACTGTTGCAAAATGTTAATTCCATCATATCTTTGTAAATACTGAATGGAACTGAACCATTTTTGATTGATATCCCTTTTACAGATCCAACATTTACAATATTGTAGTTGGCAAGAGATTTCTTAATCTGTCCTATGATGATCAGTGGCTTTAATAAAGTAACATTTATAGTACAGCATCTTCAATGTTCACATTCCCCCTATCTCTCACCATATCAGTAGCTTCTGCTTATTAACTGTTGACTTAAACCATATATAAACCAACGGATTTAAATCCATGTCATTAATATTGTCATCCTTGGTTAAAGGAATTTACACCATGGACAGAACACAGCATGGCACAGGTATAAAATATCAATAATTTACAGTTAATAGTAAAATACATTATTATATACCTGGGAGATATATTTCAATAAAGTTTATACATGTATCCCCTTTCTGCTCCAGTTATTCTAGGTTACCTACAAAACAACTTAAAACTATTATCATGATAAATTCATTTAACCCCAGTTTTTGTATCTTGACATCCGGCTTATGTTTGTATAAGACCTTAACTTATATCTTCAAATCCAGCTTCAGATCAACATTAAATTTCAATTGAAACAGTTTCTAAACAGCTAACTGGTTTATATTTTCAGAATGTAGAAAAGACCCAACTCATTTCTACAAGTTCACCTCGAGATCGATAAAATAATTCAATTGAAAGAATTATGTTGGTCATCATTTTCTTTATATCTCAACATGGTTAGAGACAGGGGTCTAACATCCACTTGACACAAATTAGGTCATTTCAGGACTTACATATGGTTCAATTTTTATTTCAATAATTCACTTGCCGCGTAGTGGTCTTTAGCAGTGGGAAGAAACTGGAGGACCCAGAGAAAACCCACAAGGTGACCCTACTCCTTGTCAAGTACATATGGTTCAATTTTTATTTCAATAATTCGCTTGCGCGTTGGGGTCTGTAGCAGTGGCAGGAAACTGGAGGACCCAGAGAAAACCCACAAGGTGACCCTACTCCTTGTCACATACAAGCAGTGTTCTGAAAAGAGGAATCCTAATAAATTATATACCGGTGTTCTGAAAGAGAAATCTTACTAAATTAGATTAAGGTGTTCTAGAAATAGGAATCCTAATAAATTAGATCGATATTGGTGTTCTAGAAAGAGGAATCCTAATAAATTAGACATGTGTGTTAGAAAGATTAATCATAATAAATTAGATACCTGTATTCTTGAATGGGTACTGGTATTTCCGAATTCTACTCTAGAGAGTATTCCTAATGCACAACACTGACTGAATTATTACAATACATTTGTTATATCTGTTTAATAGTGAACCGATTTATCATTTAATTCGGATTAAGTCGCATATCAATTGCTAGAAATTTAATCATAATCAACCGATAACAATTAGTGGAAATGCATTAAAAGTTATGTGTTTACACATCTATTTTTACTGATTGTAAATCTGATTAAATAATAATTGTGTAACCTTTTATCGCATATCAATTACTAGAAATCTAATCATCAACTGATAACAATCAGTGGAAATGCATTAAAAGTATTAAGTTTAATCATAGAACCTAAACAGTTTAAAAAGTGTTACTTGTCTCATCATTAGGTCATAGTCTTGTACATCATCACTGAAAATTGTAACTGAATTATGTCCTCTAGTACTTCCAAATATAAAACTGGTAATATCCAATTTGGGGTACCATTATCCTTTATGAGAGAGAGAGAGAGAGAGAGAGAGAGAGAGATGGGGTTTAACATCCACTAGACACAAACTGGGTCATTTTGGGACTAACAAATGGTTCAATTTTATTTCAATAATTCGCATGAGCACAGGGGTCTTTAGCAGTGGGAGGAAACTGGAGACCCCAGAGAAAACCCATGAGGATGGACAGACGACCCTACTCCTTTTCATGTAGATGTTAACCAATCGGCAAACCAACACCCCTTATCCTTTATTAAACATAACAGAAAAAACCTTTAGTATTCATGATCTCCTTCAAGAATTATTTTTTGAATGACAGATGATCCCTTGCCAACTACAAAATTGTGAAAGTTCGATCTTTCAAAGAAATATCAGCCCCAAAAACAGTTTTTGTTCAGTTAATCATTTACAAAGATATGATGAATTAAAAACATTGCAACATTCAGCATCCTTTGCAGACAACATAAACAAATCAGAACCACCTATAAGTGTGAAACTAAATAACTTGACAGACCAAGAACATCTTGGTTTTGTTCTCTTAATCAAATATTAAATAATCAATCTGAGAACATTTTGGCATGGGTTAAGCTGTGAAAAATGACAATCAGCTTTAATGATTTCTAACCAACATACTTTATAAACATCCTTCTTTTTTATTATTTATCTATCATATACGTCAAGACAGAGCAATCTCAAGTCTTCATTTGTCAATATCATTCTTTTGTCCTATATGTTAAGATGAATTAAAACAAACTTACCTATAGAAGAATTTACCCTGATATAAAATGAACACCACAGATGTAAGTTATTGATAAGTCCTAAAGTTAAAATCTGAATAAATCTCTTAACGGCAAACTCATCAGATTCAATATCAAGTTTCAACCTCCTTAAAATCAAGAAATGAGCTCTTCAGATGTTTCCATATGCAAAATCACCAAATACTTACCATCAGATTAGCATAAAAAATTGTGAACTTGGCTGAACCTGTGCTACATTTGATAAAGAGACATATCTAAACTACCAGTAGTAAAATCTTAATGGCCTTCACTTCTAAGTACAAACTATTAACTATATACATAAAAAATTGAAACTTTTTTTTACACAGATACACTGAACTGAATTCATCTGAGTAGATCATGTATATGATTTTTCATTTTATAAAAAATAATTTTTAGAAATTAAAAAGCATTTTGTTTTATCTAAAA